AGAGTCCTACCTAGGATTTGGATTTGAACTATGAAGTCTTATTTTGTTCCTTTGACCTATGATTCCCCATGGCTCTTTCTGATTAAGTCTGTTTATAGGCACCCTACTTTCCAACCTTTGGCAGTTTGCTGTACACAGGAATGCTAGAAACCTCCCTTTCCTTGGCATACTTTCCCAGAAGAGTTGTAATACTTTGCAAGCACTTTCTTGTTTATCAGCTAATGCACATGGAGGAGAATGATATGTAAGTCCCTTTCTTTTTCCATCCTGTCTGCTTGTGATTGTCAATGGATTCATGCCTGTGCAGAGACCTGGCTTGGAGGTCGCAGGGTCTGGGGCTAGGAAGACATGAGTGAAAGGTTCAGCTGGTGGCAGGTTGGTCCCAGCACCTTCATTCCATAGGCACACTCAGGAATAGCAACCTTCCTGTCTTTTGTTTTGTGTAATTATCATTTAGTATACCCAGTAGGGTTTTCAAGCCTTTCATATCTACGTGGATTTATTTTATTTCAGAGTGAAAGTGACTTTATGACCCAATTACCATTAATGTGACTTATTGCATTATGTTAGGGAGGAAGAGGGGAAAAGACATTCTGATGAGGGGAGGCCGGCTGGCCTCATGCTCCTGCCCCAGAAAAGGGGAAACCGAACTCTGCTCCATTGTTATAACGCCGAAGCCCTGGCTACCCAGCTGTTTCTTTCCTGACTATACAACCCTTTTCGAGATTGCGTGTTCCAGATATCCCACCAGATATGCGTGTTCAAGGCCTGCGCAAGCAATACCAGAGCGCAGGTGGCAATAGATCTGGAAGCAATTTTGAGTTCGGAAGGTGTCAGCGTCAAGGACTGTAAGGAAAGACGAGCCACCTCAGTCCAGTGTTGCCTCCCTTACACGACAGTTGTTGACTGTTTTAGTGTCTGGCCCAGCTTCTCAACCAAGCAAGAATCGGGGAAGCCAGGAGGGCAGCCTGAAATTCACAGGAGCGTGCAGCCCAGCCTGGCGGGCCGCCCACCTGGAGCGTGTCCGCGGCGTGAATTTCAGAACCGCTGGGCGGACAGCTCCCCGGCGCCGGGCGCGGCTGCGCAAGGGGCGGGCCAGAGCGCACGGCCACGCCCGCGGGCCGCTAGGAGCCTGTAGGAGGTGATCCCCGCGACAGACTGGCCGCGCGCCTCTCCCTGACTTTGTGCAAGAAGCAGCTGCCTG